TATGATGTTCTACCTGGGTGGGTCGTTCAAATTTTTTTTTCTTCATATTTTTTACTTTATTTCCTGTACTATTGGGTTTACAGAAAAAAATTTTGGGTAATAATTTGTAGGAAATGTTCCAGTGGATAACTTTGCACTCCTTATAATTTTCGATTTTTCCATTTGTTTTCGATATATATTGAATTGAAAGGATTTCAAATTTTGATGTCTTGATTTTCATTTGTTTTTCCATTTTCCGATGGATGCACGAAAAAATGGTAACAATTTTTTGTTGCGTCATCAAAGAAGCATACGGTGCATTTTTCAGATTTGGATTTAATCTATTGGTTCAGGAGATACGTCGTTTTAAAGCGAACCGTGTGTTTCGGAAAATCTCCTTGAAAAACCCAATTGGAATCTCCCGACCCTGCTCAATTTCAATAGGCTTCGTCCCTCCTTGATAGAGTTTTTTTTCACAAAAAATGAAATCGATCGGACCACTTTTGCGATTTGTAGAGTGGTCACAAGAAACTTCCGGTGAGAAATCGAAAAAACCCGGGAAAACCACCTTAGAGTTTTGCGATTTCCTTCATATTTTAATTACATAATATTGTTTTGAGTACAATAAGATGGCGAAATTTCAAGTCGATATGTCAAAGGGTTCCGGAGATATATCGATTCATGATTACCACAGAGTACAGACAGACAGACAGACCACACACAAAAATTCGATGGGGATCATTTTCTCCAAAGTAACTATACCTCTTTCTCGCTTAGGTTCCGAGATAGCATTTTTGACAAGGCCATAGTATACTCCACTATGTATAGCGTCGTATAACAAACGATTATCTGAAATTGAAATAGCAGTCTCAAATGCGTTTCGACATGCGATCACCTCCATATGCAAGCGTTTAACCCATTGCGCTCGAAATCGATGCAAATTGCAAGACACCTACCGGATTCTTGATTTTTTTTATGAGACACAAGGTCATGCAATTCACAGTCAGATAGTTTCTATTTTGTAACACAAAATTTGGGCCATCAAAAGGGTGGACACCCTCCACCTTCCTCAAAACTCGGTTAACTCCATTTTTAAAGCAAGAGGAAATAGATGAGGGTCCAAGAAGACAAGGACATGTCAATTTTCAGAAGATGTGATCCGTTATTTCAGATAATCTTGTTTTTTACTCATAGATTTTCACCTATCTTACAGTGGCTGAAGCTAGGAGGAGGTGCATTTCTAGACACATGTTTTTATAGAGAAATTTATATTTCGATCCCAACACTATGTCCACAAAATATTTACATCGAATTTTAAATTGTCCTGTGAATGGATGTTTCAATGAAAAACTTGTACACATGTTGCAGTCGTGAGGAATGGCCACAAAAAATTGATGTTTTTTTTTTTTCATTTTTTCCATCTCTCCACATCTACGATCGTACGTTTTCAATGACAATACCTAACTTACCTACGATTTACGTTCGGAAGGTTCTAACAAATTAAAAATGGAATTCTCGTGATATTTTCTATACTCATGTCTATTTTTTCCATCATCAGAATTGTTTACCAGATTGTCTCGGTTTAACAGACAGCTCTAGGAGGGGTCCAGATCCCATGGACCCCCCCCCCTTAATTACGCCACTGCTTCTGGCTACTTTCTGGTGGCGCGTTTATTTCCTGGAGAAGTGTATTATACCTACTTCTCCATAAGGCATCGAATTTGGTGAAAATCTTGTGGTTCGTGAAAATGTTCATACTCACCTGAGAGGACAACAAACGAAATTGGCAAGATGTCCAATTCATTAAATGATTGGAAACAGACTTCAAGCATTTGGAAGTAATCGATGCTTGACTGCCAGCGAATATTTCGTTGATTTTTGTCAGTCTGGGGTAACTGACTGGAATGTGCAAATATCGAGGCCTCAAAGAAACATGCACAAAGGATTTTCGATGCGAATTGGATTTGATGCACACGATCGGATTCCCAGTAAAAAAGGAAGATTATTTGACGTAGGTCGATGCTCGATGAGTTGCAATATTTGGTTAGTAAAATTAATACAATGTATCATTTGAAGAAATTCTATATTTCCATTTGACTAACTAACAACATCTTTTTTTTGCAAAATTCATATCAATTCAAATAATATGGCGAATAACAATAGAGAAAACTGTTTTTGAACCTCCAGAAGAAACCACGATGGATTACAAAACAACACTGTTCAAGAATGCAACGAAGGTGACCTAGAGACGACTGATAATGGGGCAGAAACTTCAGGAATAGAACAACAAGATGAAAATAAGGCCCAATCATCTAACGTTGAATCCGAAGCAGGTCAGCCATCCGTGAATGAAATACCGGGCCCTTCTTCAAAAAGAGTTTTGATGAATTCATTTGCAAATAATCAACAAACGGCCAGTTGCTCTGGTTTGTATGTAACTCCTTCTGACATTACGCCGGTACCAGTGCCCACCAAGCGAAACTCTAACAGAGGTCGAAAGGCATCCAAATCAACAATGGGCTTATATCACAAAAAATTTTTATTTCATAATTCGATAGAACTCACCCAAACTAGCTCACCACTGAAAACCGTTTCTTGCTGTGAGCTCCCTACATCGCATAAAAAATTATTGAAATCCCCGATTTTTCGGACCTCTGAAAACGAGGCGATGATGTGACGTCAAAACCCAAATACTGAAACAAGACTATTCCAGACAGAAACGAATGATACATGATTTCTGACAAAGTGAATTAGCGCGAGATCACAGTTGAAAGAATTAATATAGCAGTTGCCCCAGTCTGCATCGGGCGTTTGGTATTTTTTTTTAACTATAGCGAGATGAGGTTTCTACGTCATAAGAGGGTCCGTTTTCAGAAGGTACTATTATTTATGTCCAAAAATGAAACATTTCCGTTAATTTTTCGATCGAATTATGTCGTCAATCATTATTTATGTATAAAAGGATCATTATGAACATGGTTTGAGTTAAAAGTTCTACTATGGTGTACACGCCCATTATTTCCAGTTCTCCATACAAAAGAGAACTCGAGGAAGCAGAAAATGAAAAGGGACCAAAGAAAGTGGTGAAACTTAATTTGGAAAAGCCTAGTAAGACATTTGCAGGAAAACAAGAAAAAGGAAAGAGAAAGCGAAAGTCAGAAGATGTAGAAACTGACAGCGACTCCACTGCAAACTTCAAAAATTCGAATTCTTCAGAAGAACTTGCTCCAGAGTTCGATTTAAATAGAATTCCAGATGATCTGTGGAAGAAAATTCAGCGATGACGTAAGGGGAGAACAGTGGGTCCAATGCCTCACATGTGAGTCATGGGTGCACTGTGAATGTGCAGGATATGACTCGGGGACGTATGTTTGTGACTATTGTGAATAATAAGCAACCATATTTTTTATATCTTACACGTTTTAGTTATTTTTTAACAATGTTTTTCTTATTTCCTTTATTCAAAACATCTGCTGCTAATTTGGAATATACCAAATTGGTGGTATTCCATATTAACTGCATGTTTCATTTACAGGCAATTTTGTCAAAATTTTTTTCAATGAATATTTTTTTTTTTGTTAAAGTGTTCCAATTATCTTGAAATTATAATACGGTATTGTTCATGAGTAGACCAATGTAACAATATACCATGGAGTGCCACAGGGGACTGTGTTGGGGCCATTATTCTTCAATGTATACATTGATGAGATCCTTAATTTAAAGGTACAGATACGGAAGTTGTGGCATACGCTGATGACACTGTTGTTTTATTTAGTGCTGATCCATGGGAAACCGTGAGAGTAAATGCTGAACTTGGAATGAAGATTATATATCAAGAAATGAGTAAACGTCTACTAACACTAAATCTGAAGAAAACGAAATTTATTACTTTCTCGCTAACCGAATCAGGCTATCCAAATATAAGGAGATTAAAAATTCATGTGAAAAATAACTGCGCATATAATTGTGACTGTCAAGATAGCATAGAAGAAGTCTATGAAATTAAATACTTAGGCATATTCATCGACCGGTTCTTGAAATGGAATAAGCATATTAATCACATCACCAAATTGCTTCGATGTACTCTACCAAAATTCAAGATGTTGGTGGATATACTGTCCCAACGTACTATTTTTGCGATCTATTACGCTTTAGCTCAGTCCATATTAGAATACTTTATAGTTGCATGGGGTGCAGCATATTCAACACATTTGGAATATATAAATACAACGCAAAGATATATCCTCAAAATTATAATGAAAAATGAACGACTATATCCTACATCTTCATTGTACGCAGAAGCAAAGGTATTTACAATTAAGCAATTATTTCATAAGAATGCATTGTTAATGATTTACAAACATCCCAAATATCATACGAAATATGAGCACAGCTACTCAACAAGGAGTCAAACAGAAAACCAGCTACAAGTTCCGAAGGTACAGAAAAATACTACCCAAAAACATGCATACTATATTGGCGTACGCTTATACAACAATCTACCTGATGCAATAAAGAGAATAAATAGTTTCAAGCATTTCAAAAACAAAATTAAACACCATATCCTGAATTGTTCAAACTTTTGAATACTGTGAAACCATAAAAACTCATTCATCTCTCTGTCAAGAAAACACATGTAAATATTCTGAAAATTATAGTAGTAATTAGTTACGAACATTTTCAATTCTTATTTGTATCGTTTTGTCAACTTATTTCAACTATATCACCCTTCGTCTGTCAGGCACAAACCATTTCGGTTTATCTGACAGTGTTTAAAAAATGTGAAATTGTTATATTATTTTGATAATGAATAAAGAATTTGAATTTGAATTTGAAATTGAACTACAATATCAAATATTTGATATTTTTTGCATACTTTTTTGAAACCTGTATTCCATAATACCCTCACTTCCTCTACTAATAACTGAACATAATTTCAGATAGCTGAAAATTTACAATTATTGAAGTGATAGAGATATATATTTCGCTAACATTCGTTATATCGTACTAATTAGTTGTTCTCCATTCCGCTGAAAGGAATATGACGGTAATCAAAGTAGTTTTCGCTATTTTCATCTTTGAGTCATTGAAAGTTGGAGAAGTGAAATGTGCCACTGTGGAGGAACTGGAGAATTTGATTGAAGCTGCTACTATAGAGGCAAACTCTTATGAATTTCCTACAAATGCTAGAATGTTTCAAGCGAAGGATAATCGAATCGAAGGTATTGCACTTTTATGCATTGAATCAGTGGAAACTGTACTCAAAGATAATTTGTGATTGATGAGAAGAGAATAATTCTTTTTTTCTGCAACCGACACAAAAGTCGTTCATTTTGATACCAAAATTAGCTCTTAAATTGACGTTTCTATTACTGACACAAAAATAGGTATGTTGCTAGGCAACATATTTAGTTCCTAGGAACTAAAGTTGAATTTTAGTTCCTAGGAGCTAAAGTTGAACTTTAGCTCCTAGGAACTAAAAATGATGTACTGGAAGTCATCAAGAATAAACAACATTGTGACGGTTGGTTATCTGGGTTGAGACGCATACCTGATTTGTTATCGATTTCAGCAGATTTGGCATTTCATACCCATGCTGGAGATATAAATACACCTTATTATAGTTTAGTATTGGAATTTTAAACATCTCAGTTAAGTATTTTTGTTTGATCAGGGTAGCCTTCAAGATTCAAATACTTGCTTGATCTGTATTTCATTCGTTATTCTCGGGATGGATAACTTGTTTTTGAATAATCACGGCAAGCAATAGTTTTTTGTCTCAAACAACGATATTGTTTAGCTTCATTTGATTATCAAACACAGAGTGTAGTATGGAGGAGGAGAGGAATAAATAATCAAATCACTATTATCATTGTTGATATGCTCACTAACCAAAAATTTTCCACGTCTTGTTCCTATATAGCTGGCTCTAGCACGAACATTCTAGAAAACCTAACCTGCTGTTAATGTAGGTAGAATATTCTCACCACATGGATTATTTGTCAATATTTGTTGCATTGCATACATATGGCACGGCATTGGTGGTTACTTCACATGTTTATTTGAGTTAATTGTTTCGGTTGCAGAAAAAATAGCATGTTTCATTCGGATCAAAAGTGACTTTGTTCGACTCGCAAATTTTGCTCTCGCTCGGCTTCGCTAAACGCTCCGCCTCGCAAATGCAAAATTCGCTTGTCAAAAAAAGTGTCACTTTTGATCCTAATAAAACGATCTACTATTATGGGATTATTCCAAATTTTTTGGGATTTTCTCTCCTCGTTTCTATAAAATAAAAATATGAATATTATTTCAATATACGTGTAGTAAGGACAAATCAGATGATTTGCCCCAAAATGTCACTGCGTTTAAAGAATTTTCCCATCAGAGAGCCTAAAAGAAAAATTCACTAGCTTGTCAGTGACAATTTGTATTGAAACATTTTTGGAGAAGAGAAATAAAGGTTTATAGAAAAAATATCAAATTTTCGCTTATCTTTGGACGTTTCGGGACCGATTCTGCTCCCGTTTTCAACATGAAGAGATTTTTTCAATTGCGAAGTCGTATAATATGTCTTGAAGCTTTTCAGTTTTCAATGACAATTGGTGACGTTGGCAATCAAAGGAGTTACAGGATGTTTTCATTAATTAATCTTATATATTATTTTATAGAAACGAGGAGAGGAAATCCCAAAAAATTTGGAATAATGAATGTGCCACCTCCTCGATTAACCTACAGACAGTATTTATCTTTATGGGAGACAAACGTTTGTATATTTTTTCTGATTCATACCTAGACTGCCAATGTTCATAAAGTTCACAAGTTCTAGCCGCCCGCTACTAGTTTTTTTAAGTTACCTATTAAAAAAAATCTTGTTAACATTGAAAGCGCTGAAAATACATAACAGAAACAAATATCTACTTCCGTAGGAGGTAAAATAAATGCATCCTTCTGTGTTGGTATACCTATAAAATCTGTGCAATCCAAGTGATCAGTTTCTTTATCACTATTATAAAACAAATCCCAATAATATCCATTTTGAATTCCAATGCTTATCATACGCTCTTTCATATTCCGAACGTACTTCTTATTAAAACTTTCAAATGCAGTGATACAATATACAAATCAATTGATTAATGATTATTGATTTTTGTTCAAATGGCGTCAATTGTCCATGGCATACTATACCTTTTGTAATGCATAATGATTTGGATCGAGAGATTGGCCGCCTGAAGCACAAGAATGAAAAAATGAAATGGAAAAATTGATGTAATAGTGAAGGACTCTGAACCTTATGGAAATGATATCTCTTTATAGTTTTAATAATACAACCTTCTGCCTTTTGGTTTTTTTAATAACTGACAATGACATCTAAATACATAACACCATATATCATTTGTTTTTACAAAAGAATAAATAACAAATATCAGAATCCAGAATGTACAGAGTGAATAACGCCAACACTCCTCCTCATTCTTGATTCGGATGATCAGGTTTGAAGACCACAACGTTCTCGCAAGTCCTTCATTCTACTTGCTGGAAGTGGTTTGGTAAGCATATCAGCAAGCATGTCTTCTGTGGGGCAATACTGGCATCTGATGATACCTTGAGAAATGTAATTCTTCACAAAATGGAATTTTGTGTCGATATGTTTTGTCCTATTGCTAAATTTCTCAGATTCAATCATCTTCAGACAACTCTGATTATCTTCAAATATCAGGATAGGTATCTCGACGTTCAAATTGAAATCTTGCAAAAGCTTTCTGATCCAAACAGCCTCTTGACATGCTTCTGCTAATGCGATATATTCAGACTCAGCTGATGAAAGTGCCACACATGATTGTTTTCTGCAACACCAGCTGATTAGGCCACCATTCAACTTAAAAATGTATCCACTATTTGATTTTCTCTCCATCTTATCTGCAGCCCAATTGGCATCTGCAAATCCGTAAAACTGCAAATCATTGTTTTCACAACGACTCAGATAAAGCTTCAAGTTTCTTGTCCCTTTGAGATACTTTACGACACGTTTAACTTCAGCCCAATCTTCTTTTGTAGGTTTGCATACTTTTCTAGACAATATTGATACACTTGCTGCTATGTCAGGACGAGAATTAATGGAAATGTATAGTAAACAGCCTATGATTTTCTGATATTCTTCGTTATGAAGTAGAAAGTGTTCACTCTCTGTTTTACCATAGCTAATATCTAGTGGTAGATTAGAAATTTTGGAATCTTGTAAGTTCATTTCCCTTATTACTTTATCAATGTATGCTTGTTGAGAGATAGACAAATTACCATGCTGATCTCTATTTATTTCTAATCCAAGATATTGCTTTACTTCTCCAAGTGAGGTTAACTCGAAACTTTCTTCTAATTTATTCCTGATAACTTCTATCAGTTTAGTCTTGGTGCTTGCAATTAATAAGTCATCGACGTAGACCAGAAGGAAACTACATTCATTGTCTTCTTTCTTCATATACATGCATTTATCATTCTCACTTTGATAAAAGCCCATTGATTTCAATTGAAAATCAAGTGCTTCATTCCAAGACCTTGCAGCTTGCTTCAAACCATACAGACTTTTCTTCAATAAACAAACTTTGTTTTCGGCATCATCTTCCTCAAAACCAGGTGGCTGTTTCATATAGATTAATTCCTTCAGATTCCCATTGAGGAAAGCTGTCTTCACATCTAAATGGTGAACTTTCATAGCCCTACTGCTCGCCATTGACAAAAATATTCTTATTGTTGTTTGTCTTACCACAGGAGCGAAGATTTGATCATAATCAATACCATACTTTTGGGAAAAACCTTGGGCAACTAGACGAGCCTTGAAACGAGTTATTTCACCTGCTGCATTTGTTTCAACTTTGAATACCCATTTGCATCCAATTATTTTTCTGTCTTCAGGAATATCAACTAATTTCCATGTATTGAGTTTCTTCAATGCTTCTAACTCTTCTGCCATAGCCTTCTTCCAATCATTTTTATTTTCGCTGTCTAGGGCTTCTTGTAGAGATTTGATTTCCTCAACTCTGTTCACTTCAATGATTTCATCTATCAGCCTTTTCGGAGGAATTCCCTTATTTATTCTTTCCGATGTCCTCCTCACTGTGTCTTCTTTCAGTATGCTTTCTGGATTTTCTGTAGCGCTGCTATTTTTTGTTTCTTCTTCGACTGTTTCAGCTTCTCGCTCATGCTTTTCAGTATCGTGATTTATACGTGAACTTGATTTATTATCTATCAGAATGACTTCATCAGATACAGGGCCCTCGTGATCTTCATTCTCCAGAGTTGATCCAACAAATTTAACATCTCTGCCGATGATTAACCTTTTGGTATGTCTGTTGATCATTCGAAAACCCTTAGTATGTTCATCGTAGCCAACAAAAACTAATTCTTGAGATTTCCTGTCCATTTTTCTTCTTTGTTCTTGGGGAATGAAACTATACAGGGTGGCCCACGGTCGATGGTACCTTAGGCGTATACGGAAAACGGTACATTGGATTATCCTGAGAATTTGGTTACTCTAATAAGCGTTTGTGATCTAACGATTGAAAATATTTTCATCGAAGCACCGTTGCCACTTCTACCAAAAAGTAGCATCATCTTTGTTATTTCAAATAGAACACCCTGTATTTTATTGCGTTTTCAGAATTTTCTCGAAGAGCTGATTTCATCAATGCATCACACTTGGGGTCTAGCAGGAATTATCACAAAGATATAGGGTGTTCAAAATCGAGATTTTTCAACTTTAGGATTTTTTTGTGTCGAAACTATTCATCATTGGTCAAAACGGCTCACATGTCCCTATATTGACTTTTGATTAAATATCTACCGACATTCAATTGGAAAAAATACAGGATGGTCCAAGATTCAGAATTTTGATCACCCTGTATCTGTTCCAATTAAATGTCAGTAGATAGTGAATCAGAAGTTAAGATAAGGACATGTAAGCCGTTTCTGCCTCAACTTGTATAAACCAGAATACAAATCTGCAATGGCTATTCCCCTTTCTTCTTTCTTGATTTGGCAACCATTATGACTGAAGACTACTCCAAGTCCCTTTTTCACTAATTGCTTGACCGATAACAAGTTCCTTTCCATTTTGGGGACATATAAAACATCTTCAATTGTGGCAGTTGATTCTTGATTTTGACTGTTCATGAATGTCAAAGTGACAGTGCTAATTCCTTCTGCAATTTCTTCAATACCATTCGCC